CTGTACACTGACTGGTGTCTCTCAGTCCCCTCTCTCTCTCTCTCAGGGAGATACCTGTACACTGACTGGTGTCTCTCAGTTCCCCTTCTCTCTCTCAGGGAGATATCTATAAACTCACTGGTGTCTCTCAGTTCCCTCTCTCTCAGGGAGAAATTGTTACACTGACTGGTGTCTCTCAGTTCCCCCCCTCTCTCTCTCTCGAGAAGTGATACAGATGTGCATAGGATAACCAGGAGGCAGTGAATTCAGTGAGAAATCTGCATTAAAGCTGTGCTTTCCGTTCACTGCTGTGATCAATAACCGAACTGGTTAAGCCCATAACAGTATCATGTGTCAATGATGCTGTGAATTATTTTTAATCTCTCTGAGTGTAAGAGTTGGGGATGTCACATTGAGGTTGTACAAGGACGTTGGTGAGGCCTCTTCTGGAGAACTGTGTCCAGTTCTGGTCGCCCCGTTATAGGAAGGATATTGTTAGACTTACCAGGATGTTGCCGGGAATGGAGGGTTTGAGCTACAGGGAGAGGCTGGGACTTTATTCACTGGAGCATGGGAGGCTGAAGGGTGACTTTATGGAGCTTCATAAAATCACGGGGGACATGGATAGAGTGAATAGCCAAGGTCTTTTCCCGAGGGTGGGCGATTTCAAAACTGGGGTCACGTTTTTAAGGGGAGAGGAGGAAGTTTTAAAAAGGACACAAGGGCAAATTATCTTTACACACAGAGGGTGGTACGGTGTGCAGAATGAACTTCCAGAGGGAGTGGTGGGTGCGGGTACAGTTACAATGTTTGAAAGACATTTGGATAAGTACATGGACAGGCAAAGGTTTGGAGGGATAAGGGCCAGGAGCAGGCAAGTGTGGGACCGGTTTGGTTGGGATTATGGGTCAGCACAGACTGATCGGGCCGAAGGGTCTGTTTTCGTGCTGTCGGGCTCTCTCGATGGACTGCCCTACACTGGCAGGAAGAGTAGGAAAAGCAGTATGTTGGGTAAAGGGACACTGCCAAAAACTCACAGCAATGGGGATGGAGTGTGCAAATAGTGAGGTGATGTGACATTTCCTAACACACTTGCTCAGAGCCACGTGGGGTTGATTGTCTGCAGTTCCGCTCTCCCTAGTCGAAGCTGGGGTTGGGTTTAGGGATTTAACTGGATGGGGAGCTGCTTAGAGAAAGTTCAGTTGTCTGACTGTTGCTGTAGGGGGCAATGGGCCACAGAGGGCCCGTGCGTGTCAACAGAAAGGTGAATGAGAGGGTGATCTGAGTGAGACGCACAAGGGCAGAATCAGCTGTCTCCTGCTCGAGGCACACAGAGATAGGACGGGGAGATGGCCTCTCTCCCAGGCTGGTGTCCCTCGGCTAAACAGCGACTGTCGCTGAACACACTCAGCGCTCAGTCAGAGAGATTTTAAACCGAACGGGGCGGGGGGGGGGGGGGGGGGGGGGGGAAGACGATACAAACACAGGGGGCAAATGGCACAGTTGGAACCAGGGAGGCAACCGGGAAACAGGAAGGCGCAATGGGCCGAACGGCCCCGGCTCCTGGTCTTACTGTCGTCGGGAAATCGCGGCGCAAGGCATTCCTGGGATATCGAGGGACGGGGACACGTCTGTCGCCGCCCCCCTCCACACCTCACCAACAGCAAAGCGCAGACAGCATGCCCATGGCACAGCATGATCCCGCATTACATCCCTGAGGGGAGCCCTACATCTTACAGTCTGAGATAGAGGGGAAGTTAAAGTTACCAACAAACACTCGCATCTCGGATGAGGCTTTTAAAGCAGAAGGTACTGGTACCGCGATGGCATGCTGCCTCTTCAGACCACAACGAGTCACCTCTGCTTCAACTCAACCTTCACACTAGAGCCTTACAAAACCCAATGGCCAAATGCAAACCATCACACAAACCTGGTGGAATATTAGCGCCGAGGGAGTGCCGCACTGTCGGAGGGTCAGCGCCGAGGGAGCGGGCGCTGTCGGAGGGTCAG